ATGTATACAGATAAAAATCTTATCCCTAATTCGTGGTACGAAAATTGTTTTTTATGACGATGTGCAGACGAGTAAAATTTCCTGTGCGCAAAAATAAACTCGCGTAAAATAACAATAAACAGCGTAATAGAGAGATATCGCTAAACCGAATAGCGTCCATGGACGTTAATAAGGCCAGGTGTTATTTCCTTTACGTGAGGTGGTATTAACTCTCTTCATTTATAGTTATCGGATCAGAAAGAATTCTGTTCGCGTCGCGTCCGCTATTTAAACTTAACCTAACTTCGAATTTAAAACTTTGAAATTGTTTTGTTTACTAGGTATTTTAAAACTAAAGGGCTAAAGTGCTTATTTCCAGTGCTTTATTGTTCAACGTCTGCCAGTGGGTTTAGGGCAACAAATTCTCTTAGAAGGGCTAAGTCGTCATCTGCTGTAAACCTAAGCCTCTTTATAGGTTCTTTAATATTGGAAGAGGTGGAATCCATATTTTGGGCCATATTTATTTAATTAAAACTAATCCCAGCTACTTAAATATCAAATTACCTAATAAAACTAAAGTAATAATTCAAAACAATTCAAATATAACGTAAAATAAAAGATCTCGCCGGCCGGCCCCGGTTGTCAAATACCCGCACATGTCCATTTAGGCAATTTTTAAATTTGTTTTTTTACTTAAACGTTATTTAGAAATAGCGCTTGGTGTAATTGATCCGCAAATTACGTCAGGCGGTAACGTTATTAGCGGGTGTTGCGTTAAAAATTGACTCATGGATATCGTAACCATGATAAGGTACGCGTAAATCCTTGGCGTAAATACTGCATGACGCTATTCGGTTTTCCGATATCTAATAACTGTGCCAGTCAGGCGTTGTGCACAATTTTAGAGGCCATAAGTAGGCGTGCTATGTGCGCAAACTAGTAACCTAACTGGTGCCCGATTCCGAAAATTGGAACCACGAAAAACAATAAAGAAAAAACAAAGATTATAATCTGTATAATCTGTGCTAATATTAATTTACCTCAATTAGCCAAAACACTTTATTTTGATCGTTAGATGATTAAAACCACAACCTATTCATTATACAACTAGTCGACTTCGCTACTTTTTGAGTAACCGCGCTTCACTCAGACTACCAATCTCAATATTTTTTTATTAACGGAGCTTCAATGGAGTTCAAAATCGGACTTGTTACATAACCTAAGGTAGATTAGATTAGATTCTTCGAGGTGATATCGGTCTTGTCCACTGTGAGTATTGTTGTCCTCTTTTCTTCTGATCCTTAAGTTACATTTTCCACTCCTATCCTTTTCAAAAATGTAGTAAAGAAATATCACAAATCACAAATTTCACAGGATTCACAAAAAAGAAAATCACCAATTTGTGAGGCTGTCGAACCGACATAAAATGTGTTCTGTCGCTTCTTCTTCGAATTGACAGAACCTGCACATGGATTCGTCCGTCAATCCCATTAGCTTTAGATGCCTCTTCAGCTTACAACGTCATGGTCGATATCTAGGTAGTTGCGCAGAGTTCCATATAAATACTAGTAAGTCGACTAGCTGTCTAATAAATCGGCTGTGAATAAAACTAAATTTTATTTTATTTTATAGAATACTTCATTCTTCTTCTGTTATTCACAAAGTGAGAATTTAAATAGTCACTGGTTGGCGTTGTTACCAAGTTTCAACGAAGCAAGACAAAAACAATAAATTACTTAACTATAGAGTAGTAAGCACAGAGAACTCGAACGAATGAGGCTATTGCTTTTGTTCATATTGTCTTTAAATTTATTTATTTTTTACTTTCATTAAAAATATATAATTGTCTGTAATTTGAGACACGTGAGATGCTCATGGAAGAGTCTTAGTCATAGAGCATACTAGAAGGTCAATTATAACTAAATTGAAAGACCTTATGGAAATAATACGGCATAGCAAATAAATACTGGTCGTTCAACAAATTTTTAATAAAAATTATTATACCATGTGGTGCATCGGAACGCGGGACACAAGAAATCCCACGTAAATTTTAAAAAGGTCAAATATTATCTCGCCAAATGACTTAATGCAAAACTATTTTGAAAAGGCGTTAAGTTGTACTTTCTTCTAGAATTTCGTTTAATTTGGAATAATCGTTTAAAAGTTATTTGCAAAAATCTATCTTCAAATTAGTAAAATTTATAATACGGCCCAGAGAAGCTACCATTAAAATAACAGCAAAAATGTGATAGTGTCTTTGTCAAATTCGATGTCACATTTTGTATTTTAATTGTAGCTTTCTCTAGGCCGTATTACAATTTTTTAATAGTTTGAAGGTAGATTTTTGCAAATAACTTTTAGATGCAAATGAAATGAAATTCTAGACGACAGTACAACTTTAACGCCTCTTCAAAAAAGTCTAATAAAATTTTTAATAAAATCATCTGGAGAGATAATATTTGACCTTTTCAAAATTTATATTGGATTTCCTGTCCCGCGTTCCGATGCACCACACGGTATATGTAGATATGAAATAATTTAAAACTAATTAACTATGTCCCAAATTACAGATAATTTGATGTTTTTTTCTATATTCATTTTACAGTAGTTTGGCAAAGGTCGTGTAACCAAAAAATGTAAATAAATGATGTGCTCAAAAATCAAAGATTTTGAAATAGTATATGTCACATCATCGTGACCTCGATTGAAGCTAATTTATTGCCCAAACGATGAGATTCGATTTTTTTACCTGCTAGATCCGCACTACATTTGCACAGCAGAATAAATATTGTTTTGGTTTGGTTGTCAAACGAAAACGGATATTAGGAAAAGGAATATGAGTTATTTTCTGTCAATAACAGTCCGTCCAACAAAGAAATACATAAAACTGACAGTTGTGTTTGTCATTTTAATCCACAGGCATATAAATTGGATTTTCTGTCATTTTTTGGATGTTGTCTGTGGAACGCTCTGGCTCGTTGGACAGACTATATGCACAGAATATCTAGCTATTTTGTGCTATATGCTATATAAAAATGTAAGTCGCTATGGTTTTATATACCGTGTTTGTATGTTTCCAACGCCGATGCCACAAAAGTGGCAAACCAAAACAAAAGTGGCTCACCATTTTTCAAATAAAAAAACGAGATTTGGTATGTTAGTATATGACATAAATTGATTGACATATTCAAATTCAATTATTTTCAATCACTTCCTGTTGCACCGGAAATGACTACAACTTTTGATTTTTAAATCACACCTTCGGTATATTTCCACATTATTGGATAGAAAATGACACTCTAAATAGAATGTCATATCATATATGTAACTTTTGACATTTTCGCGTATGGTTTATTTGAAATTGTAACATGCTGTTCAAAACGACAATTTGACTCGAAATACCAACTGTGAGGTACCAAATAATTATTCGTAAAAGAATGCTTTTTCCGAATATGCTAATGAGCCACCCTTATTCCATTTGAAAAAATTGAGATATGATTAAAAATACGATTTGAACATCTTTTAACCGGCCAGTACAAGACAAAAAAAACATTAGACGATCAAATCTAGTTTTCCCAGGCTTCTTGATTAAAAATTAGTGTTTTTAACACAGCCATGGCACTCTAGGTTGAAATTTAAAATACGATTTTTTTTAAGTAAAAATGTCAAAAGTTGACATAATATGATATGCCATTCTATTCAGAGTGTCATTTTTTATCAAATAAAGTAAAAAAGTACCGAGGATGACATTTAAAAATCAAAAGTTGTAGTAATTTCCGTTGAAAAGGAAGTGACCAAAAACAATTGAATAGCGTCAATCAATCCTAATTTATGTCATATACTAACGTACCAAATCTCGTTTTTTTATCTGAAAAAATAAAAAAGTTATAGGGGTGAGCCAATTTCGAGACGCACCCGGTATATCGCTATTCATTGGTCGCTAAGTATGTATGATTGGGTACCATGAGACTGAACGGTTCAGTTCAAATTATTAATTTTGTTAGTTAGTAACTTTATTTTGTTAGCAAATTAGTACTAAGTTAAGTTAGGATCAGTGGGTTGTAAGTCCATTGGGGTTTTACCAAAAAAAATAGTAAGTAGTTTTAATACAGGCTACAAATTTATACTATCTATTGAATACATTAAAAAATCACACAAAAAAGTAAAATAGAATACATAATTTGTTTTGCATTTAAAATATTACCACATATTACAAAACTAAATTTATCAATGAATGGTAGGTATTTAAAAGTGAACAGTATGTATCAGTCATTCTGCGATAAAAATATGCATTTTACTATATGTATAGTGTTAGAAATTATATTCTGTACAAGGTGAATATTAATTTAAGTACATAACATGTATACAATATGTAAAAGAATAAGGTAATAATTGAACGGAAATTTCTTTCACTGTTTGATATATTCATCAAATTCTATAATAAAATTGGGGGTTGGAACCTTTGGTGTTACAACTACATAATAACAACACTAATTCACCACAATACACTAAAACACTTTACTTTACTTTTGCACTGGGCGCAAACTGTTGATGATTGTAACAAGTAAAGTGTTTTGGCAAATTTTTCATGTTCAATAGCTTCTACGAATTCTTTTTGGAGCTATGAAAGATACTAAAGAGTACTAAATTAATTAAAAAAATAATCCGATCCATCTTCATTTGAAGCAGTGTGTTTTATTTGATTACTTAAATATTCTAGTATGTTTACAGTGTACTTTTTGTAACTTTTCATAGAAAATATAACTTTTTGATTTTATTTTGGATATTTTTGACAGATACCTGCGGAAGAAAAGCATAATAGATTTGTCGTAATGTGACATAACTTGTCATTATTATATTTCAAAATAAAAGACCAATCACCAAATTTTAAACCTTTGTTTAATAAACTGAGCTCTTGTTTATCAAAAGTCTGCGAAGAAAGATTCTCTACTATGTCTCTTTGAAAACATGTTTGTTTTTAGAGCTTTGTAATTTTTTAAACTTATTATTCAAAATGGACATTTTCTTAACAAACTTTGAATTGATAACCACAAACATATTTCTCTGAAGAGATACAAACATTCATACTCTACATTAGTTAGCTTATAAGTAAGTCTTTTGTAAAGTCCGTAGGCTTCAATTTAAAGCATATATTTCGTTTACTATACAGAAATTTGATTTCTAAATCAAGCCATTTTTGTTTTGCAATTTTCTCTACCTTATCACTAACGTTACGTTTCGGAATATCAACTTTAATAAAACTAGGATACACGGAATTGGCTTTGCATGATTTAAGAAACCAAATATCTGCTCCTAATAACCTAATCTTAGTAGGGGAGGATCACTCAAGAGTACGCACTTAACTTGTTTTTTCCAATAAAAATGATAGCTTTGCCAGCGTTGTTCACCATCCACTTATCACATTCATTTGCAAAGGCTGACTTTAATGGGAAGAAAAAACTGCGATCCAAAGGTTGGATCTTGTGGCTTCCGTGGAGAGGCAAAGTTAAAAGAATGATGGAATGCTCTCTAGCAAATAAAATGGCTTCTAGCGAACAATGGGACACATGGTTATCTAATATCAATACCACTGGATCGGCTTTGGTTGGCTTTACGAATTCGCAAAAATGTCTTAACCAAGTTACAAACAATTCCGAATTCATATATCCAGTATCCGAAATCATCTTTAATGTACCTACTGGTGCGCCATAAAACAGCTCATCCTTCATGCGCTTTCTGGCGAAAATAAGTCCCGGTGGCTCCCAGATACCCGAAGCGCTCATACAGCAGACAGCGGTGACTAATTGGCCTCTTTCGGCAGAGACTACTTTTGAAACAGTTTTTTTACCCTTGGGAGCATAGACCTTGGGAAGTTTGTTTGGGACCGTCGAAAGCCCAGTCTCGTCCATGTTAAAGACTCTATGTGTTGGAGCATTTGTTTTCGAATAAACAGATTTTAAATTTTGAAAGAATCTGTCGCATTGTATTTTATTAAACCCAATAGTGCGAGCTAGGCTACATTTTTCTGGACTCCTCACGGACAATGAATTTCGTGCGGCAAAGGCTTGAACCCAATGTTTGCCCGCCATTTTTTTTTTCTGTATTAGCTCGGTACGAAATATGACTGACTTCCGCAAACTGGTACGCTAAAGATCTTACATCCCTAACGCGTAATCCATAAAAACGGATATCAAGTTCGTGAATATGGTCCGCTAATTCTTTCTCTTGTTCTGCCGTAAATATTGGTTTAAACCTTCCCAAACTTGCTGGAACAGTGCCCTAAAAGTTATAAAAATAAAATCCTGTTGAAATGTGACTATTAAGTATAATATACCAAACGTAGTCTTTTTCTGAGCGAACACTCGTTGACATTGAATGATTTAGCTACTGATCTTTTACTCTCTCCTTTTGCAATACGTTGTTGAGCTTGGACTAACATTTCCTGAGTAAATTTTAGTTCTCGGTCACTTTTCCTTTTATACTTTCCCATCTTGATGTGGATTTGAGTATGGACTATGGATATCTAAAAATAATGTAGTGGGTTCCTAAGAGTACGCGCGTACTCTTTGGTTGCGTACTCTTGGCGACCGCGTGAGAATATTACACTAATGGCCTTTTCTAGAGAAAAATGTAAACATAACCTTAAAATTGGTACATGATAACCTACTATAGGAGTCGCTTTTTAATGGGTATAAAAGAATTTTTAACGAAGGAAAGTATTTCCATTCGTCATGCTTACATTTAATCATGCAAATATTATAAAAAAAATTGCAAAACCGAGTTTCTTACCGTATTTATATGACCTTAAGCGCGAACACCAATAAACTTTAACATCGTCCTCGGAGAAGTATTGGCGGTAACTGAATGCAGTTAACGTGAAATCAGAGTTGCCGAATTTAAAATATGGCGACTGCGTACTCTTAGGGAACGCGTACTCTTAGGCGATCCTCCCCTACTAAACTTATACGATAAAGATTCAGTTCCGTTGACCGTGAAGCCATCGAAGATTACAGTTGGGGCATGGAACCTTTGGTATTACACAGCAAAATAAAACACTAAATCACCAAATTTTGCTGTGTAACACCAAAGGTTCCAACCCCCAACTGTAATTATTATATTTGTTTAGCCACGACCGCATTATTTAAAATTATCTTCTAATTTGGTATTTATTGTCATAGCTTGATTTTAAAAGATCATATCTTTTAAATTTATTTTTGGCATCAATAAAGTTATGTTTGTTATTCTAATCAGAGCCGGATCATTTTTTTACTTAATTTAGTATTCTTTTATCTTTCATCTTTCATAACTCCAAAAGGAATTTGCAGAAGCTATTGAAAGTGAACAATTTGCTTCATTTTAAGTTCTTTAAAAAGTATCAAATATTTTTATCTGTAAAATAAAATGGGGAAAACTTATTCATCATCTTTAAAATTTATATGAAATTTCCTATGTTCAGGTCGGCGATGCAACACACGGTATATGAAATGAATTTATCCGAAAACTGAAGCTCTAACATTTGATAATTGGTGAAAATCTAATAATATTTTAGACATGCTACTAATTTATGTGTAAATAATCAACACACTGTTATATTTACAACAAGTTGATTAAAAGTTGTTTTATTAAGAAATTATTAAGTTGGAGCAATAATTAGTATACCTATATGATGGGCGCGTGGCCCGGTTGTATCAAGTTGGAGGTCGCTGGTTGTGTTAACAAGTTTTTAAAATTAAATTATCCAATTTTCAAGGTATAATAAAAACCGTCCTGTGTAAATGAAATTTAAGAGGTTGTTTTACAACAAACCAGATATAATAAACCAGAGCAAAACCAAGACTGGCTTTTAATCTGTAAGACCAAGACCAAGACCGACCAGTACAAGACTTCCGCAAGAGCACGACGCATGCATGGCTGTTATGGGATCACACCTAAATATGACATAAGAAATTACTTATTTGTTAAAAATTATTGTTTTAATTTATTACAAATAGTGATTTCCCGACTATTGCATAAAAGTTTCGAGAAAGAATTGCTAACTCAATGTACAGTATGTCCTCGGATTGTCTTTACAAGAGGAAAAACCGATCGACAAAAGAAATTGTGTTTGAGACTAATGCATTCTTCATAAAAAATTTTTGTTTGTTCTAAAATTGTTTATCTTGTTTATACTTTTCAAAATTTTCATACCATTTTAAAGAAAATTATTATATTGCAAATTTTGTATTATCTGATGGTACTATCCGTGTATGTATGAAACATTTATGAATCTTTAACACTAAAGCTGAAAACCTAACTGAAATACCGGGTGCGTCTCAAAAGTGGCTCACCCCTATAACAAATATAACTATAATAAAGTTTCTATTTTTTCACAGATACGAGATTTGGTATGTGGAGATTTGAGTGCATCATAAGACATAAATTAGGATTGATTGACGTATTCAGTTGTTTTTGGTCACTTCCTGTTTCACCGGAAATGACTACAACTTTTGATTTTCAAATGGCACCCTATGTGTTTTTTTTTACATTATTCCATAGAAAACGACATTCTGAATAGAATGACATATCATATGTCAACTTTTGACGTTCTCGCTTAATAAGAAATCGTATTTTAAAATTCAATCTAGAGTGCCATGGATAGGTTAAAAATACTAATTCTTATTCAAGGAGCCTTGAAAAAATAGATTTGATTGTCTAATATTTTTAGTGTCCTGACCAGTTAGAAAATGCCCAAATCGGATTTTTAATCATATGTCAATTTTTTCAAATTGAACGAGGGTGACTCATTAGCATATTTAGAAAAAGCATTTTTTACGAATAATTTGATACCACACACTTGGTATTTTGAGTCAAATTTTCGTTACAAACCGCAAGTTACAATTTTAAATAAACCATATGCGAAAATGTCAAAAGTTGACATATGATATGTCATTCTATTCAGAGTGTTATTTTCTCCCGAATAAAGTAAAAAAATACCCAGGATGCTATTTAAAAATCAAAAGTTGTAGCAATTTCCGGTGAAATAGGAAGTGACCGAAAACAATTGAATACGTCAATTAATTCTAATTTATGTCATATACTAACATACCAAATGTCGTTTTTTTAACTGAAAAAATAAAAAAGTTATAGGGGTGAGCCACTTTTGAGACGCACCCGGTATACTCACATTTTGTACAATGTTATGCTTTAAAATTCATAGAACAAATAAATAGACATATTTTATTCAATTAAAACGTAATATCTTATAATATCTATCTATGAAAGAGCGATATACATATATTATCCTTTATATAGAAAGAAAATAAATATTTGAAAATTTCAATACTTTAAAATAATACTCCAATATACACATTCTTACAAATTTAGCCAATTCTTTGATAGACACAATAATTTGACATTGTTTTATTTTGCAAAAATATATTTAATAAAAAAACGTCAAATTAATACAAGATAATCTAATTAATCGTTTCTAAATATTTATAATATTCTGGAAGCCTAAATAAATAAGAGTTTAATAAGGAAGTATGTAGCAAATATAAGTTTTTAAAAAGTATTATTTTTATTTTATACAAAAAAATAGAGTGATTAATAAACTAGGATTATATTGACGATTTAATGTAAAAACTAATCTAACAAAACAAAAAGGTAGGGATTTACGCACGTATTATCAATTAAATTAATCACAACTAATACTATAAGCACTTAATATCAACAGCTTAGTCCTTTAACGAAAAAAAGCATTTAAAGTATTTAAAATCGGATTCTTCGTGTCACCAGAAAATAGATATTTATTTAAATTTAATCGTTTAAGACTATAATGATTATTGATTGACTAGATTGATTGACAATGCTTTCATTTATTAGTCGCTTTGATTAAATAAATTTACTTAGATAGTTGCAAGCCAATTAGTTTTAAAATCATAAAAATCCGTTTATTTATTCTGTTACTATCATTTTTTGTCAAACCAAACCAAACCAAAAATTAAATACGCATTGTACTAGCGTGTCCAATGTTCGGGATCGGGATCCCGTTTTGAAATCTCGTGATGAGAATCTATAATCCCGAGATCCCGGGATTGACTCTCAGAATGAGAAATTACTAATCTAAAGAAATACATAATTAAAATACAACTACATATGTATATAAAAAAAATGAGAAAAGAGTTTTACTAAAAAGTAACAAAAAAATAACAAAAAAAAAATAAAAAGTTAGTAAGCAGCGGAGATGTAACCTTAATATACGGGAAGAAAATTTTTCATATTGTAGTTCATAAAACTGTAGTTATTGAGGTAAATAATGTTTTAAAATAACCATCATCAAATTTGCAAGCACTGCCGAGATGTTTGTCTCAAAATAGATTTTGAGAAATATATAATTTTTTTTTTGTTTCACCGTTCAAGTGGCTCTATTAATGTTTTAATGTCACTTATTATCTAAATATTTTTTCTTAGTTTTTAATTTAATATAATTGCTTTACACTGTATTTTGATTTGAATTATATCTATATTTCATATCAATTAAACTTTTAGTTACGTAATCGAGGGCGCGATTTTTAAATTCATTGTTGCCAAACATGGACATATTCGGCGCCGCCGCCGCGCCGTGCTGACTAACTGGGATTTAAATTTTGCTCTGGAAATTTAGGTGGTAGCTCTGCTGTAAAAAATGTCAAGTTGCCGCATTTATTTATTTATTTCCTGACATTAGGCATTTGTTTTGACACTTATTTTTGTATTACGAGTTTTTGGTTTAAATAAGTAATGTTGTGATACTTTAAGCTTGAAAATTTTTACTAGCAGACCTTGCAGTCGAACATTGTTCTTTTTAGAACCTCTTTTAGTGCGAAGCCTAAAAGATAGCACAATAGCAATAAAAAACCCATAGCAATTTTATTAGAATATTTTGAACGGGAAAGCGGTAGTAGTGGCCCTTTATGTCCCTTAATTATAACTGTTTATATATTTATAATTAATTTATTTTTGTTAACTAAAATATTTTGATTAAAAGAAAACATATAAAAGTGGGCAACGCTGTGCCGGTCAAGCTTAATCACGTGACTAAAAGTTTATTTGGTATGAACTGTAGGTGTTTTTTATTAATTTAGATTGTTTTTATTTCAGTTCTGCTAATAAAAAGATAAATTTATATGTAAAATATGTCTATTTTTCTGCGTTATCATCTTTATTTCAGCATTTAACATAAACGATTGCAGGGCCATTAAACGTGCGTCTTGTAATTGTCTCATATTTGACCCAGTATGTGTCATTTTTAGACCTTTTATGGGTTAAATATACTTTTTTTGCATACTGCCTTTTTTAGGGGTATTTTTTGTATATTTTTATTTGTGCAGTAGGTTCATTACCACCAAATGCCTTTTATAGAAGAAATACTTTTGTATTTAAATGTCTGTAACTAAGAAAAAAACTAAAAGTTTTGAAAAATGTCTCCTTGTTACACCACTTGTCCCTTTCTATCTGATATTCAATTTTGTTCTAATCCCGAACCTTACAGTTTCCATTTTTTGTGTTGTAAACAAATTAGCTAACAATTTTGAAATAACCGAGCGTAACGGTTGATTCGTTTTGTAGGTTTTCTTTCATCCGCTACTGTTTGAAATTCAACTGAAAACACTATGTTGTTAAAAAAGCGAAAATATCAATTTAGTAATTAGATGCAACGACGGTATGTTACCAAATTATAACTAGTAAATGGTTATTAATATACTGAATTAGAAATTTACAAATGGGATTTTCCTATATCAGTCAATGGAAAATGTTATTCACGTTCTTTATAAGAAAGAAAATTATTTTGTCCCTTATCTCATATATGACCTCAAGGCTGGGTC